ATACTTCAACCACTATCCACCACCCCTCCTCTCTCAGAAGTTGCCTCAGGTCTGGCTAGCCCTCAAGAAAAAACTAGAACTAGAACGAACTAGGTTCGAGTTCCAAATCAAAATGAAAGAACTCCAGTTGGAGCATGAGTTGGAACAGGCCAAGTTGGAACAGGCCAAGTTGGAGCATGAGGGAAAGTTGGAACAGGCCAAGTTGGAGCATGAGTGAGAATTGGAACAGGCCAAGTTGGAGCATGAGGAAAAGTTGGAACAGGCCAAGTTGGAGCAGGAGGTTAGACTGAAAGAACTACAGGTGAAAGAGACCGAAGTCACCTTAACATCGAAGTTTAAATCAAAAGAAGTGGCATTAAAAGAGAGACTAGCTGCTTTTAACCCTGCTAATGCTTCTTCCCTTGTTCCCGAGTTTGATGAATCCGATATGGACGGGTCATTTAGGACTTTTGAGAAAATAGCCGGGAAGAATGAGTGGCCTAAGGACCAGTGGGTGTCGGTGTTAGTTCCTAAATTATGTAGTAAGGCTCGTAGAGTTTATAACTGTTTAGACCAGGCTGATGACTATGATAACGTAAAAAAGAATATCTTCACCTCTTATGCTATCACGCCAGATAGATACCGGCAGAAGTTTCGTAAACTAACCAAAACATTTTCACACACCTTTGTTGAGTTTGCTCAAGAAAAGCTTAGGTTTTTCAAGAAGTGGTTAGAGGCTACAGAGACCTCCACATTTCAGGCTTTGTTAAACTTGGTAATCCTGGAGGAGTGGAAGAGCAAGATACCATTTCACATCTTGAAGCATGTGGAGGAGCGTGGAGAGGTTAATTTAGGGCGTGCTGCTGAGCTGGCTGATGCGTACGCCTTGCTGGTGGAGTCACTGGGCAGTAGGGAACGTGGTACTTTCCAGCATGTTAGGTCCTCCTCTGAAGATAGCCTTGGGGACGTGAGTGGTAGGTCGAAAGGTCCCACACCTACCCCCCCTGATGCAACCAAGTTTTATTGTTCTTACTGTAAAAAACCAGGCCATACGATCCAGTCTTGTAAACACCCAAAGTGTCGAACTTCTAAAAGTAGTTCCCTGGATCCCAAATTCGAACCAATAGCAACCACCAATGTGGAAAGGCCCCATCAGGATCTCTTCTCTTCATTCACCTATGAGGGAAAAATTTCAATCATAGAGGGGTCTCGTTCTTTCCCTATTCGTATACTACGTGATACGGGCGCAGCACAATCTATCCTCCTGTTTAACGTCATTCCTGATATATCTACAGCATTTACTAATGAGAGTGTTCTAATTTCAGATCTCTCATCCCATTCTTCCTATCCCTTAGCTAAAGTGTACCTCCAATGTCCCTTGATTACTGGGGAAGTGCAAGTAGCCGTTAGGAAAGATCCAATGCCTGTGAGCGGCATTCATTATTATTGGGTAATGACTTGGTAGGAGATCTAGTGGTTCCCAACATAAAGACAGTCGACTCTCCCTTACCTGTCAACTCCACCACTGACCTTGAAGAAACTATTCCTCACCTTTTCCCATCTTGTGCTGTCACCCGGTCACAGAGTGTGCGAAATGGGCCCTCTTCATCTAAAACCACCTCCAATATCTTCCTACCCACAGAAGATCTGTACAATAAGACCATTAGTAAGGATGAGCTCATTAAAGCCCAACAATCTGATCCATCTTTGAATAAACTTCATCATGCAGCAGTTGAGGGTAAAGATTTTAACACCCTTCCTTATTTTTATTATCAGGAAGGGGTTTTGATAAGGGCCTATAGACCCCCTGAGCTTACCCATCTAGACACGTGGTCTGAAATACATCAAGTGGTAATTCCCTCCTCAGTCAAACCAGCATTAATTGCCCTTGCCCATGATGGTATTTCAGGACATTTGGGAATCCTGAAAACATATAAAAAGCTTCTCCAACACTATTACTGGCCTGGACTTAGGAAGGATGTGTCAGAGTACCTAAAATCTTGTCATATTTGTCAAATGGTAGGAAAACCAAATGAAAGTATACCAGCAGCTCCCATTAAGCCCATCCCAGTATTTTCTACACCATTTGAAAAGATTGTTGTGGATTGTGTGGGCCCATTACCAAAGACTAAGAAGGGAAATCAATTCCTGCTCACAGTTATGGATACCAGTACACGTTATCCTGAGGCTTTTCCCCTTAAAAGCATCACTTCAAAAAATGTAATCAAACCTCTTTTGCACCTTTTCACTTCAGTGGGCATTCCTAAAGAGATCCAATCCGATCAGAGCACCAATTTTACGAGCAATCTTTTCAAACAGGTGATGAAAGACCTCAGTGTGGACCATTGTACATCTTCGGCTTACCACCCTCAATCCCAAGGGTGCTTGGAACGGTTCCATCAAACTTTCAAATCAATGCTAAAAAAATACTGTATAGAACACCAAAAAAAAACTATCTCCCCTCAACTATATAGTCCATACTCCTGATCGCAGAAAAGATTCACAATTTGTTCACATTAATCTCATGAAAATTTACCATTCTAGGCAGTCAGAGGAAGACATCCCAGAGGCTATAAGCCTACCTGTATTGCATACGGCTTTGTCAGGGCCGGAGCCGGAGACAGATGACATGGACCTATTGGAGAATTTAGACTTCCCTCTACCTAAAGAGAACCCTGCTAACAGTCACATACTCAACAACTTGGATGAGTATTTTTCTGTTCTGAATCCATCTCAAGCAAAAGATCTCACTAAGTTATTGTCAACATTTCCTAAAGTCACGTCAGACCTCCCAGGGTTTTGCAATATACTTAAACATGATATTAAGCTAATCTCAGATGATGTACAACCCATTAGGCAATCAGCATATCGGCTAAATCCACAAAAAAGAGAGATTATGAAAAAGGAGGTAGATTTTTTGTTAAAACATAACTTAGCTGAGCCTAGTACCTCCCCCTGGGCTTCACCTTGCCTTCTCATTCCAAAACCCGATAGCAGTTTTCGTTTCTGTACCGATTATCGTAAAGTGAACCAGGTCACTGTCTCAGACTCCTACCCTTTACCTTTGATTGAAGATATAATAGACAGCATAGGCTGTGCAAAATTTATTACTACGGTGGACTTGTTGAAAGGATATTATCAAGTGGGACTCACTGATAGGGCAAAAATAATCTCAGCATTTATAACTCCATTTGGTCTTTTTCAATATTTGGTTATGGCGTTTGGCTTTTCTAATGCTCCGGCCACATTCCAGAGGGCAATCAATTACCTGATTCAGGACCTAGATGGGACGTTCGCCTACCTGGATGACCTGGTGGTGGTGTCGGACGGCTGGGACGAACATCTGGTGCGTTTGGAGATACTGTTCGCACGACTGCAAGAGACTGGATTCACCATAAACCTGGCTAAATCTGCTTTTGGCCGGGCCTCAGTGACTTACCTGGGACATATCGTTGGGCATGGTATGGTGAGACCCAAGGACGCAAACGTTAAAGCCATCTTGTCCTTCCCCACTCCAAGGATGAGGAAGGAACTCATGCGCTTCCTGGGGATGTGCGGCTACTACCGTCGGTTCTGCAGTAACTTCTCCAGCGTGGCCGGACCCCTCACAGACCTTACCAGTTCTGTGGTCCCTTACATCTGGAACCAGAGGTGCGACCAGTCTTTCCACCGCCTCAAAGCCTTCCTTGCCTCCAAGCCTGTAGTCCACCCCCCTTACTACACCTTGCCCTTCCATCTGCAAATCTACGCTAGCGGTGTCGGAGTGGGGGCTGTGCTCCTACAACCCGACCCAACCACTGATGTCCTTCACCTTGTGGCATACTACTCCGCCAAGTTGAAACAACATCAGACCAACTACTCGACCATAGAGAAGGAGGCCCTGGCTCTGGTGTTGGCAATAAAGAAGTTTGAATGCTACCTCCAATCTCGCCCACAAACCACCCTAGTCTTTACCGACCATAACCCACTCACGTTCATCCAAACCAACAAGACCTCCAACCAGCGAATCCTCTGCTGGGCTCTCCTCACCCAGCCCTATAATCTACAAGTCCAGCACATAAAGGGGGTGGATAACCTGATTGCGGACTCTTTATCCCGAGCTCCAGTGGAAATGCAGCAGCTACTCTCCAGACGCACCAGGTGATCACCTCCTTCGCGCCCGCGCTACGGAGGTCTTTGGAGGGGGGGTGTGTTACGAACCACGCCATCTATTGTGTCATGATCTAACTACCCAGCAACGCCATCTAGGGACGAAACCCGAGTATGACTAGTCTTAGTCACCACTCCGGGTTTCCTTTCTCTATATCTTTGGTTGTTGCGTCACCTCCTCCAACTCTTCCTCATCAGCTCCGGATCGAGGAGAGTTCAGTTCACTCTGGGAAGTGACCACACTAGGATCACCTATCCTGGAAACCTACGGCACAGTGACTACCTACCATCTTCTTCAATACTCAGCCCTACTCGTCAGACATTTCAGCACCGCACTTGAGTATTTGTCACCCTATATTACCTCCCACCTCCACTTGCTTCAGATTGTTGTATGTTGTATAAATATGTATAATACTGTTAAGCCAATGTTGCGTATGTTTAGGTTAAGTATGGTTAAGGGTAAATTATAGAAAGCTGAATATTTTGTTAAGGAATTTATGGTACTTTATTATGCACAACAAAAACTCTCATCCTTTGTCTACCCTTTTATAGTCCGATTGTCTTTGTTTGTTTAAATTTTTTTATTGTTGTTGCCTGTTGGGATCTGGGTAGACTTTTAACTATATTCTAAATCCCCAACCCGCAACAATATATATATATATATATATATATATATATATATATATATATATATATATATATATATATATATATATATATATATATATATATATATATATATATATATATATATATATATATATATAATAATAAAATAAATTGATTTGTACTGAAAACAAAACATTATGTGAGCAAAAGTATGGGAAATATTTTCACATATAGTTCAAGATGTTAACAAAATCAATATACTGTACATTACTACTTTTAATAGTTTTTGTAAATTCAAGTACTTAAGAATAAACATAAAACAAGAAATTTAAAGAAAAATATATGGCCTAAATGATACGTACAGGTAGACTCAGACCGCAAAGGTTTCATAATAAAGATTCTGATTTTCTTAGGTTATCTTGGGTTAGGTTTGGTTAGCTGTGGGTACGTTAAGTAAGATAAGGTTAGGTTAGTTTTGGTTAGGGTCCAATATAATTATTTCATTAACAATGGCATTCAACATCATAAATATGAAAATCAAGTGCCACTCGAGCGAGATACTAACCCACAAAAGACCTCCCCTCACTACTTAATAATGTGACAGCCTGTTCACACAGTATTTGGTCTGTGCAGTAAGAATTAAAGCCATACAAACAGCCAGAGAGTAACATAGACAAATTAACACACACAATGTCTGACTATAATGCCCATCCACTCTATTATAGAGCTTTTATAAAAAAAATATATTAATTGAAAAAAACATCGAAACCCTACGGAAAACAACCACTCTTTGTCCTAATTACAATAATAACACCTTAATTCTAAATTTGCTTTGGTATAAGAAGTAACCAGATCCATGTATATTCAAGTAAGTTTACTACATATAACACCATCCATCATCACTACAGATCGGTAAAGTAGTTTCCGAGGTTCTCGTGCGGACACACACACACAAACACACATACAGACATACTTCTATATATATATATATATATATATATATATATATATATATATATATATATATATATATATATATATATATATATATATATATATATATATATATATATATATATATATATATATATATATATGGTTTACACATTTAATTCAGTTGAGAATTTAACTTTCGGGAGAGGTGTCATGGCCTGCTTAGAGGTCGCCTGAATCTGCAAGGCGAGATCAGTCTTCAGATCACTTTTGGGTTCAGATTTTACCTCTGAATCAGAGACCTGAAAGACGGCGAAATAAGAGCAGAAGTTAGAGAGGAATTGAAGGGTGGCGTTGCGGTACTGTTGGCTCATGGTCACATACACTATGGGGTCGACGCAGAACTGGAGCCAGAAGATTAAGTGAAGGAGGAGCCAGACGGTAGGAAACTTGTTGTGGAGGTGATAGATGTGGATGACTATGTGCGGCAAATTGCAGGATAGCAGCACGACAAAGACGACGAAGATGGTGCGGGTGACATGATCGTCCCACTGGCGAAGGACATTGTCTTCAGCATTCTCAGTAACACTCTTGCATCGACGTCGGGCCAGCCTCGCCTCTCTTGAGTGACGCACCTGCCCATATCACAAATACCATTAATTTAGAAGACAAAAATTCAAGGAATGTTACAGTACTCCTTAAGGTTAAAAAATTGTTTTATGTCTAGAAACTAATATTTAAAGTACAGTACAAAGACCCAGGCCACTGAGACACCGAAAATTAAAAAAAAACTCTTAGCAACGAAAATATATTCATTATATTTCTCATATTTTAACTACGTCAAGTAGCTCTTTAAATGTTAAGCTTGAGTGACTAAAAATAACTTTGTAAACACATACTGATGACATAGTTCACAATATATTAGTATCCATTTTTTCATCATATCGTGTGGTTTACGTTTTTGTTTTTATGAAAATTCAAGTTTTGAAATCTGAGTTATGAGTGTTGTGGAAGGGAATAAATAAACACTTAATTGAGAGAGAGAGAGAGAGAGAGAGAGAGAGAGAGAGAGAGTTTACCTTAATGTACATGTGGACGTAACAAACACTAGTAAAGATGGTGGGGAGTATGAAGGTGAAGAACACGTGTATGGCTTTCTTCAGTCTGCTCCCGGAATTATCCTTTATCGACACCATCAATTCCACATTATCAAACTCCAATTGGCCAAATACCTGTATGTTCAAACAGATACATTTATCCTGTTCGAAAATATACAGACTTTGGTAGAGAATAGATGCAGAAATTTTAATGGTGCCTATGGCGAAAGGTTCACAAGCCATCATCCTTAAGGGTAAAATAATTATCATCAAAGTATTAAACTAGTATTATCAAAGGGTTAAACCATCATTCTTATAGGGGTTAAAATCATCCTAAGAGTTTTAAAATACCTTTTTCAAAACGGTGAAGCTATCATCCTCAAAGGAATAATCATTATTTTCAAAGAGTTAAACCATTATCCCCAAAGGGTTAAATCATTTTATTCAATAGGTTAAACCATTATTCTCAAACGGTTAAACTTTCTTCCTCAAAGGGTTACCATAAATGTCAAAAAAGAAAAATGAGGTTTGAAGTGAAGGTGAATCTCGTAGGTCTGATGGCCTGTTATGGCCAGAGTACAAACAGAACATTAAAATATATTTTTCAGTAGGTAAGGAGGCAGTATAGTCGGCACTATTCTTGATCACCTTTAATTCCCCAACTAGAAAGACTGGTACAATGAGAAAATGAAATATCATCCGGTATTTTGACAAATACATCGCAAAACGGTTGAACCATTCGACACACGCATGTGTGGATCCCCGTGGAACCTTGGAAAGGGGTCACCATTGACACCATTCACTGTGTTTGAGTAGTCAGGTTACATTTTATACATCGGTCAAAGCTTGGAAGATAATTCATTCTCTCACTGTTCCTCTAAGCACAACCAGATGAACTGAAGCACTGGGCCCGAACCAGCGACTCTGAGAGCACAAGGTTGGTATAATGGCAGCGCGCATAACTCTCACCAATGCGATCACGGGTTCAAACCCCCAAGTCAGATGTGAGAAGGGTGTTATCCAGTGTGAACCCTACCAAACGTCATCCCCCCTTTCCTTTCTTTCATTTGTCCTACTTCGCTGTCTCTCTACCTTGCCCACCTAACCTCTAACATCCACCCCCCTCCCAAAAAAAACAACCCCTTCCCTCTTAATTCCTAAAAAGCACAGGAGTGAGTTAGATATATTTCAAGCCATCCCTTTGTAGGCGTGTGATTCCTACACGGTGATAGTGTGCCACTCAAATAATAATAGTAATAATAATAATAATAATAATAATAATAATAATAATAATAATAATAATAATAATAATAATAATACCAATTAAACTCGTATCTGAATTAGGTTTGAGAGAGATAAAGTGTTTACAGGTTGCCAAAGTAGGAAGACAATTGTGGTTAAAACCACTTCTAGGTACCAAGCGAAAACTGGAAACGTGTGGGAGCAACGAAACAGTTTGTGCGTTCATGGAATTTACTAGGACACACTAGACTATTTGAAACTCAGTATGGTGTTATCGTATTATCGTTCACCAGCCAGCCAGCCAGCCTGCCACCGTCATATATCTAACCGAGAGCTTTATTTCACCGACCACCACATGGTCAACTAACAGCTCTTGACGCCTGGCATTATGAGACCAATTCCCTCAGTGAATGCTACTTACGTCAGTAAACCAAACCCAAGTTAATGTACGTTAGGTAGTAATTATTAGTAAATTGTCGAAGCATTAATGCCAAAGCGTTTTTACTATTTATTTGAGTAAAATGCATATAATTTATTAATAAACAAATAAACAGGTTACTACTCAAAAAACTGTTTTCTTAATAACTCTAAACAAACATGACATCATTTAGAAAACAATACGTTTTTACTTTTTATTTGTCAAGCAATGTTTTGTTGGTACTCACCCCGAAGGTAAGAGGGAGCCAGAGTAGGGCGGAGTAGACCCAGATTATGATCAAGTAGTAAATCACCTTCTTTTGTTGCATCACTTGCTTGTACAACATTGGGTACGCCACAGCTAGCAGTCTGCACCAGGATTTTACCAATTACTTCACATTTCAACTTAATGTGATTTAATTTTTATCAAGAATTTTACAATTTAGATTAATAATGTCTTCAGTAATATATTTCGTGATATTTATACGTCAAATCACATTCCAAATTAATAAAATTAACATATTCCGTATACCTTACAAATAGGATTATCTTAGCTATGAGACAAATCTCTTACCTGTTGAAGGCGAGTGCGCAGATGGTGTGTATGTGCACTTGACCTAGTATGAGGCCTATTGTAGAAAATATCAAGGACAATTCCTTTGAGAATGTAACATCGCCGTACTGTTGAGCTTGCAGACACACGACTCCATACATAGGCATCCCGAAGGCACACACGGGTAACAGGCAGACAAGAAGGTTGACCATGAACGCTGTGGAAGGACTCTGACGGAGTTTCTTGCTCATCAGGAGAGCCAAGGACCCGAGAGAGTTACCTTTAAGGTTTGAGAGAAAATATATTAGTGAGTGGTAGCTCAGTCGAGTTGGTGCTCTGATGAGCAGTTTAATGCTTGTAAATTTATACCGTGTCTTTTGAGACATAGAATAACCATTAATATATATGTTTATTGATGAAGGAAGCGCGACCAAACATTAAATAGAACAAGTTAAAATCTAAGAATGTATATTCTCAAGCCTTTAACAAACTGGAATAATATTTCGCCTTGGTCAATCTTATGAACAAATCTCGTAAGATTGTCTCCTGCGATGGCCAAGAAAATGTGCTTAGTTGTCACTCGCTCCAAGTTAGCTTATATTAGGTTCAGTTAAGTAATGTTTCTCGCGAGTCATTCAAGTCTCCGCCATCACGAGAGACAACGTGACGAAATTGTCCGTATGATTAGCCTCTATCATGATATTTTTCTATCATATTTCGGTGATGAAATTAAATCATTCCCTAGTTGTAATTATGTACCGTAGCCTTCAACGTGCATTATAACATCGTTTTATATTCCACAGTAAAACAAAAATCTTTATAATCTTAAATCCACTTCAATTGAACAAAAACAGTTTTATGGAGACCGAAATCCTGCTAGACATTAGTATACTGGAAATGTCTCACTACACACAAAATCCAAAGACACAAACATATACCATTTTTTTTTACTTCAGTTATTACCACAGGGTCGATTACTGTAGCCTGTGATAATTTAACCTATACTGAAAAGTTTGAATTACAATGTTGAAAGATGCTTATTTGTCAAGTAGTGAAGAAAGCCTACCAAATCTTACGTTCGGTAAAGGTTGTATATTACGCCTCACGTTTATCTCTCTCGTATCCTGTGGTATTTCTAAGGAGTGACATAACTCCTCGTATCTACTTTATGCTAAGAGTGATGTGAGTTCTGATGACTTACACGTCAGCAGTTTTTTTTCTCCCTACCTCGAGAGAGGGAGTAACAGTTTCTTCATACCCTTCTAATGAGTCGTGTCTTCTTTTGTGTATTAATGGGAACATAATTACTGTATACTCAAAGCTTTTGAAACTAACTGTTTTTCAAGAATCTGTTGCTCTGTTATCAATGGCGGAAATGGACAGGTGAGTGTGGGTGGTGGTGAGTATGAGTGGGTAAGGTGTGTCGATGTTTCCGATAAGCGTTGATGTTGTTGTTGAGATTGTCGGACCGTAGTCCGACACGGGCCTTTGCCTATAGGCGGCCCGTTTGGTGGTTCCGGCTGGAGCTCCTGGAGCAGCCAGACCGGATTGGGATTGGAGGTGGTCCCACCTGCAGATTTGGAAGGATACTGCAGGTTGCAAGTGTGAGCGGACCCCGATCAGTGGACGCTTACCACCAACCCCCACTCTTGGACGTGGTCAGTTTCGGAGTGGCGCGCCCCCCGAACTGGGGTCCGCACTTGCTGGGAGAGGATACTTTCTAAGCTATCTGGGTGGTGGGTATCGTGTGATGACCCGGAGAAGGTGGTGAATGTGGTTTGTTTGGGCCTTTCGGGTTAGAGTGGCCGCTGGTGTTGTGTGTGCTTCTTGGGAGATTTGAGTTCTGTTTCGGAGGCTTTGTGTGACTTCGCAGTCGAGGAGATAGTGTTCAAGTGGGTTGGCTGCTGGCTCCTGACAGTAGGTGCATTCCATGACGTCATTTCCGATCATCTGCCAGGAGCACTTGTACCCTAGTCGTAGTCGATGAAGGCTGACTTGGGTTTGTCTTGGTGTTTTCTTGTCCGCGAAAGGTGGTTCCCCTTTTGTAGCCTCCAGGTACCATTTGGCTGATTGGGAACCAGCGTTGAATGCGTGAAGGAAGCTCTTTTTGATGTGGAGCTTGCTAGTCTTTCTGAGGTGATTCTTGATCTGTTGCACGCTTGCTGGAACTTGAATGTGTACGCTACTAGAACGTGTAGCTGCCTTGGCTGCTTCGTCTGCCACGTCGTTTCCTCCGATCCCTACATGACTGGGAATCCAGTGTAAGACGACTGGGCGGTTTTGTCTTTGGAATTCCTGTAGCTGTGCGAGGATCGAGGTTATGATGTGGACGTTGTCTCTTGGTTGACTGTGTTGCAGCGCCTGCATGGCCGATTTCGAGTCCGTGTGAATTATGATGGACTTGTTGTGTTGTGTTGCAGCGTGTTGTAGGGGCCTTTGAGATTGCTACCAGCTCTGTTTGTAGGGTGGAGCAGTCATTGGAAAGTCTCCATCGGAGGGTCTGACCTTGGGTGTAGAAGGCCGCCGGGTTCTGATGAATATTTGGATCCCCAGAGCCGTCTGCGAAGTATGATGCTGCATCAGCCGGTGTCTCAGTGGCTATGGCTTCAGAGTTATTTTTTTGAGGTCCTCCTTCTGGAGGTTGGCTTTACTATCGCCTAGGTCGGTAATTTTGAATGTGGCTGGTGGAGGCTCCATGGTGGAGGAACTACGTAACCATTGTCTCGTGTGTCTTGGTTGTTCTTGACGAGTGTTTCTGCTTGCAGGTGTCGGATGACCTCGCTTGCCTCGTGCGACCAGGTGGCCCCTCGGACTCTGTGGTCGAGGTGGAGGGAGGCACTGATTCGAATTTTGGCAGCTGTGGGCTTATCTGATCTACAGATTTTGGCGAGGAGACCGGCTGTCACCTGCTTGACTCGTACTG